TGTCCCTTTTCTTCAGTTGTCTCATTTTCCAGTGTTCTTCAGATTCCTTAACCTTCATTCTCCTAAAAGACAAAAACAAAAACCTTTCCCCAAGTCTAATTTTGGGGATGTTCCTTTTTGGCAAGTTATTATCTGATTAAATGAAAAGACATGTGTTACTTGTATAAGTTAGTTTAAATTGGATGTTCATGCTGGTTGAAGAACTATCACCTCCTCTAATTAAGAAGTTTCTCTTGTTCAAATCGAACCTTTATCAATTTTGATGGTACCCACAACTTATCTTCTCCCGTAGAAACAAAAGCAAAACCTCGTCCCCAACGTAACACATACCCTGGTTTCCATTCTGACGTCAGCACATCCTTAAAGTATATAGACTGATTTAATTCTGTAGTTTTTCTATTATCCAATGTCTCTCTGCAGCTGTTGTTCCTTTCTCATTGGCATTAAGAAAATTCAAAGTTAATAGAGCATTATGCAGTCTGTTTCTGGGGGTTTTGTTACCCCTTTCTGTTTATTTAGCATATCCTTTAGAGTTCTGTTTGATCTTTCTATAACTGCTTGACCTGTAGGATTATGTGGTATGCCTGTAATATGCTTTATATTGTAATAAGCAAAAAACTGTTTCATTTTAACAGAGACATATGATGGAGCATTATCAGTTTTGATTTGTGCAGGTATACCCATGATGGCCATAACTTCTAGCAAATGAGTGATTACAGAATCAGCTTTTTCAGAACTCAAAGCAGTTGCCCACTGAAATCCTGAATAAGTATCGATAGTGTGGCCAGTGGCCAGGCAGGAAGTATAGGCGGGACAAGGATGGGAAGTGGAAGGCTGAGTCGGAGAGACACTACCAGCCGCCATGATGACAAACAGCATGTGAAGATGCCGGTAAGCCACGAGCCATGTGGCAAGGTATAGATTAATGGAAATGGATTAATTTAAGCTGTAAGAACAGTTAGCAAGAAGCCTGCCACGGCCATACAGTTTGCAACCAATATAAGTCTCTATGTTTATTTGGTCGGGTCTGAGCGGCTGTGGTACTGGCAGGTGAGAGAGATTTGTCCTGACTGTGGGCCAGGCAGGAAAACTTAAGCAACAGTGAACCTGTCTGTTTAGTCATGCATATATTAGTGTCTCTATTTATATCTACAAAAGCTTTGATTTGTAATACAAAGTAGAAAAGGGTTGAAGCTTTGAGGGAGTGAAATGGTATTTTTCTGTCACAAAGTCCTCAGTGATAATTTCTCACCTTTATGCAAAAGAGTGAGTGGTCAACGTTGATGGAATTATTCAATAAGGAGTATGGAAGGCTCTGGACAAAGGGCTGCATTGGGGTCCCAGTCTGACTTTATCTCTACACTAAGCAGAAAACCTTTGCTCGTTTCCTTAAGCACATCACCCTTTCCCATACAGACTACTAAGGAATGGATGACTGCCACACAATGGCTCGGTGGGTGGTACATTTTCTTTAAGTATGAACAAAGTAAGGTTTTGTAAGGCAAGAATGTGACCAAAAAAAAAAAAAAAGAAAGAAAGAAAGAAAGAAGAGAAAAGAAAAAAAAGAGTCACAGCAAGAGACAGATTTCATGTGGTAACAGGAGTTCTGAGACTGATTAGGAAGGACACTTCTGATATGCTACTGTGGAAAGTTCCAGATATGACTTCATGCTGAGAATGTAGATATTTTGTTAAGTAGAGGTTATCAGCCCACAATTATTTGGATTATTATTATTATATAGCTTGAATAGCCATAGATATTCGAAAATATCCTGTGATTCGGAATGGAACATAAGAAAGTTGTCATCTGGATTAGTATTTACTGTTTTAATCAGGAGTATTTGGGCAACTATACAATGAAATCAAGATATAATAATAAATAGGAAGCTTATAGACATTATTTCCTATAGGTGTATGTTTGTCAAAATAGCCTTCATAGAGGCTGGGGAGATGGTTCCATCAGTAATGTTCTGGTTGTTTAAGCATGAGGACCTGAATTTTGATTCCCAACACCCAGGACAAAACAAGGTGTAGTGACTTGCATCTGTAACCTCAGCACATGGAAGCAGAGATAAGCACATCACTGGAGGTCATTGTCTAGCCAATCTAGCAGAATCAGTGAGTTCCAGCTTTAGTGAGAAACCCTATCTCAAAATATTAGGTGGAAAATGATAGAGCAAGAAACCTGATATTGCATATTTGCAGGTAAAACCTCCTCTCTCATACACACACATCTACATGAACACATGCATATAACACACACAGACACACACATAACTGACAATATTCTTGCTTCCACTGAATTTATAGTTAAGTATCATGTACTTGAACTAATAAAATCTATACTCGAAAATTATTTATGGAGTAAAAATAAATGATCAGTCATGTATTATTTAAATAAGTTTTACCACAGTTTTGTTGATTTCTTTAATATTTGAAAATATAAAAGCTGTAAGATGATATAATATCAGGATAGGCAGACAATTAGGTTTTTCAGCTTATCCTTACTTTGGAGCAGTGATTTGGGCTGTGACCCCTTTAACACGTGAGAGTGTTATTAAATAGCACTACAAATCAGAAGAGAGCAATAACTCACCAATAAACAATTTAACAGCTCCTACATAGTATCGCATCAGTTAGCTGTCTAGGAGTGAGGTGATGAGTAATGCATACACCCAAAGGTGAGAATGAAGGGAAGAGAGACCTCAGATAATCGAATGAACACATCACTGAAGGCTAGAAGTTTGCCTTTCCTTCTCGCTCTGGTTCTAAAAACAGAAAGGTTAGATTGGTTTGAACAGCTATGCTGAGAAACATTAGAAAGGATGCCTCTCCTGTGCAGTGTTGATAAACTGCTGGACCGTATCACTGGCGTTTTCAGTTTTCCTAGCCCAGCAAGAGGAAGCAGAGAATAGATTTCCACTTTTGTGCCCACTTGCCCTGGGAAACTCTTAAACAATCACTGTGTGTGTGGGCGGGCTGGCTCACACCATTTCACACTGGGTTAAAGGGCTCCTACTCCTGAGCACCTCTGAAGTCCCTTGTCACATGAATGGGAGATATGGCCCCTAACCATCTGAACTTCATTATTTAGTTTATTGCTACATTGTGTCATAAGAGCAACTACCTAGAAATACTTTCTGCCCATACCCACATTTTCTTGGTAGGCAATTTATAGACCTATTTGGCAAAATCACAGTGAGGTGGAGTTGCAACATCATTCTCTGTCTTCAAACAAACAGCCACCCTGCTGCCACTGATCAGCATTCCTGGGTTGGCTGTGATTGAAATTTAGCACTTAGAGTGACTTAATTGGCACAAGGATCTGTTAAGCATATGCCCCACCACAGGCATGCCATCTGATGTACCCATAGGGTGCCCCACACCTCACACATGCTCATGTCTTGCTGAAGAAGGGAGTTTTGAAGAGATCATTGATGGCAGCTCACACTGTGGGTTGGGAGAGAGCAGCCTTAGAGGACAGGTCTGGAGGTCTGTTGGTCTTCTGGGTAATATAGCTCTCCATTTCCTAGAAAGGAGTCCTGCTTGGCTTTCTGTGAAATGTTAAGGATCATTGATGCTCCTGTCTTCTAAATGAGGCACTGTGCCAGTAACCTGGAATTTGGAAGGATTTAGCACGCTTGGGCAGCCACTGCCTCGGAATTCAAGGTTAGAACATTGTGTGCTTGCTGTGGCTATAATTGGTCCCAAGGCCTTCAGAGAAAATCCAGGACATTGATGTGAATGGATTTCTGCTGAGTTGAAACATTATAACAGGGGCAAAAGTTCTAGGGCTAGGACATGCATACCACCCGGAACAGAACAATGAATAGGGCCAGAACATTCTTCCCTCTTGTCCAAAGAGTGAACAGGCAGAGGAAGAGCAGTGGTTGTGAGCAGGTGCCCTGGGGCTTGGGTACTCCATGAAATCAGGTAGAGCCTATTCATGGTTACAGGTACCAGTGATGCTCGCTCTCATCTCCATGTGCTGTGATGGCCAAGCCTGCCAGGAGCACTGAAAAGCAAGGCTCAGGTCTCTGAAACTCCCCTTTTCTTTTTGAGTTTTTTTTGTTTTGTTTTTGCACTATTTGAATCACAGACCCCAAGTTTCACTGTCCTGTTTGGGTTCTCCTCTGGCATGAGGGAAAATTCTGGATGATCAATTAATGTTTCCTGCATTCTGAACAAATGAACTAAATAGTTCCATTTCCTCTAAGTGAGGCTGGAAACAGGTAACAAACCAAAGGGGCTTTTGCTGTGAAGCTAAAGGGAATTTGTTTGGGGTACATTCTTTCCCAGAACCTGTTCCTAGTTTGGAGGCCTCTCCATACCCAACTTCATAAGTCTCAGGGATCATGTGTTCCAGAACTGCTCCATTATGGTTACAATGCCATTGCCTTGCCCATCTGTGGTATAGTAGCTCCTATCTGACTATGAAGTCAAAAGAAATAATTAATCAAACTCACAAAGAAAGGCATGGAGCTAATATTGAGGATACTCATGCTAATTTATATGTAATTTGTACTCATGATCCATTTTAACTCTTCACAGTAATGGTTCCCAGGAGTTAGCATCTTGCTCTCTACTGCCACTATCAGATGGGCACACTGAGGTTCAGGAATCAAGGATGGTGGACCATGTGACCCAGCTATGGGAGGTGGGAACTTTACCACTGACATTTCCTGAATATTTACTCAGGGGATAACTTGAAATGTACACATGTGACAGTTTTGTAAGCTTCCTGGGCAAGACATACATGGACAAAACAGGCATGTATGGGACAAAACTGGCTGTGGTGTGCACTGAGAAAGGTGGACAGGGAAGCTGGCCTGAGAAGATCAGTACCAGGCTGCCAGCCCTTTGTAACAGAAAAGCAGTAACAATTTATCCAATTATGTTAAGCGCCCATTAAAGGAATCCTAAGCCCTCCCTTGGGCCATTTCAGTTCTAAGAGATTGTAATTGTTTGAGACTAACCATGATTTCTTCTTCTGCCTTCAGGTGATTCTCATTTTGACAAAGCTGTATGACTATAACCTTGGGAGCATCACTGAGAGCTCACTTTGGAGGTACGTAGATAAATTAGGCCATAATTACTATGTTGTTTAAGCCTGGTGTCTGCTAGTGCTGTCTCTTGAAGTCTCATTTCCTGGTGGGAAGGTTTCTGGTTATATGCATGCTTTTCTTTCTTTTCATTTAGTTTCCTTTAGAGATGCAATGGACTTTGTCTATTGGTAGGCAGGAGAAATGCCTTCTTTTCCTGGTCAATGAGACTGTTGTGTTCTGCTCTTCCTGAGGTGCTAATGTATTTTGAATTCCATAGTTCTCAATGATCTGGGAACTCATGAAAAGAAAGGGATTGGGCTTCCTGTTGTAGAAGGCCTTACCTCAGCCTCTAAATCTGTAGGAGGCAGCCTCCCCTCAGGTGCAAGATTTTCAGTTTGCTGTCCATGGTCCTGCAGCTCCCTCGCAGCGCACAAGTGGGCACACAGACATTTGTTATGCATATACACCTTTATCTCAGGGCTGCATGTTGTACTTTATACACATAAAAATTGTGTGAAAAAAAATACTGTGTCAAATGAATGTATACAAATCATTTAGGGGAAGAATATCTCATGAACAAAGATGTTTTTGGGGTGTTATTAGTCTGAATTTTTTTTTAAAAAAACTCCTCAGTAAACCAACACAGTCTATTTTACTGTTTATTTGGTTTTTTTTTTTAAATGTTGCCTGATTCTTGTTAATCTAAATTCTGCCCTTCCCACCAGCCTATTTCAGATGGCCATGCCCCCACCAGCCTCTGGAATCCAGGAGAGCACTGTCTCTGAATGGTTATTGCCATCTCATCTGGCAATCCCAGAGAGACGATGGATGGAGCTTTGTCTAGATGCAGTTGAGGGGTGGGCCAGGGCTAGTGCTCATCAGTGCACCGAAAGTGTGGGTGTTTGGGTTGGTGACTTGATATTCATGAAGTTCTTTAGCACGTTAAGTGCCCAGTGCCTAGTGCATTATTTAAACTCAGTAAACCTTGATCAGAATGTTCATGACTCAGTAAGTTTATGTCTCCTGACAGTTTTTTCTAGTGTATATGCATTCACAAGAATAAAAGTCCATACCATGCATCTGTCATAAACAGTGCAGACTGTACATTAGACAATTAAGAGACATGCAGCCTTGTCTCAGAGAGGCAGAGGGCATTAGCAGACAAAGGTCTACCTACACTGTGGGAAATACATAGAACTACACAGGAGAAGGTGGTAATAGACCACTAAATTCAATGTCAGCATGCTTCTTTTTCTCTGATGAGACATATTAAGAGTGTGTTTTCCAATCTGAGGGAGAGAGGTTAATGAAATAAAAATGGCACCCGCCACCGGAGCTTGGTAGTCACCCAGACTAGCCAAATAAGTCAGCACCAGGTACATGAAAACTATTTTAAAAAATAAGGTGGAGAGTGGTCAAGGATGCATCCAGTAAGTTGACCTCTGTTGTCCACACAGCACAGGCATACATGTGCATGTTCATCCCCTACCACACACAGAATCAAACACATACACACACATAAACTAATAATTAATATATATGTAATATTATATAAATGAGTAGAATTTTTTAAGTACTGAGATACTTATCAGCATATTTTTCTACTTCAAAAAAACTAAGCAATTGAGAAATGTCCAATAACCAGATCCAAACCCTAAGTTGAGCCTTATTGTTTGAAGGTTCTACCAGCTGAATGATCAAAAGATTCAAGTGTCAGATGCCCTCTGGGTATTGGAGTAGGTGGGGGCCAAGAGGCAGTTGACCTTGTACTGATGTCCTAAGGACTTACAGCTCTTTGGATCTATGAGACAGGGATGACAAGCTACTATTGTACCCAATTAATGAGATTTACTCCCTGTTTGGGCTGCTATCGATTGCTCCTTAATCCTACAGCAAGTTGCTGATTTTGTTTTGTGTTGTGTCGCTGTTCACTCTGGGAGTCAAACTGAGAGGGACTGGGTGATCTGACACAGAACAATTAACTGCTCCTGAATACCAACTCTAACTGATAGTGGATTAAGCTTTGAGACTTGTGGGGAGAGCTGGTTTTACCATTTGAAGCAAGATAAGCTTAAAGGTTTAGATAAATAAAAATGTCAAATCAAGACACAGTATCTCCAAAAAGAAATATATTCATCTTTCCCCTCTCTTGTCCAGGGTAATCAGCACTCAGCTGAGAGAGGCTTAGCTGGTGAGGAAGCCCTAGGCAGTTCTGAAGGAGATGCAGGCATGTGCTTTTAAAGGCACACACACCAGCAGTGCCTTTGTCTGTAACTTGAATTTCTAAGTGGTCTTATTAAATAAAAACTCAGGGGAGCCAGATATGGCGGTGAATTCTGAAAGTTCAGAGAAGCAGAACAAGCCACAGCCAACCTCACCTCGGCAACTCCTCAGCTGATCTTGTTTCCTCAAACTGGAAGCCTCTGAGTCCAAATCCAGAATGGATCTCAGCTGAACTGCTGCTAAAAGCCGAAAAGCTAAAAAGGCTCTGGTTCCTGGTTTTCACGCCTTAAATACCTTTCTGCTTCCTGCCTTCACTTTCTGGGATTAAAGGTATGTGCCACCATTGCCTGGTTCATTTTCCAGTGTGGCCTTGAAATCGCAGAGATCCAGATGTATCTCTGCCTACAGAATGCTAGGATTAAAGGCAGGCATGTGCTACCACTGCCTAATCTCTATTTTTAATATAGTGGCTGTTCTGTTCTTGACTCCCAGATAAGTTTATTGGGGTGCACAATATATCAACATTTCTCCTTTTTTGTTTAAAATAAAAAAGTTATAACTAATATAAAAAAGTACATACGATAAGTATATACAATATATACAGTCAAGAATTACATTAACAATGTCTAGTCCATTAACATTTGACAGGTTCAGGCAAAAAAAAAAACCAAACTCCATTATATACATTAACAATGTCCAGTCCATTAACATTTGACAAATTCAGACAAAAAATTTCATTACTTATCCTATTTAAAACAAGTAGTTCCTTTTTAAAAGTAGATTCAATAATTGACCTTTTTAATCTTATCATATCCATATCCTCTCTTCTTTCTTTTCTGAGTAGATTCAAAAATCTACCTTTTATAGTATCATTTCTATATCTTTCCTTTTTTCTTTTCAGAGATTCAATAATCTACCCTTTTATGCTATTATTTCTATATCTTTTTTTCAGAGTAGAATCAATAATCTACCTGTTATCTATATCCTCTTTTCTCTTTTTATGCATCTTTTTTAAAACAAGAACCCTGAATCTAATCTTCTTTGTTTAGCTTTTATTTTGATCATTAACAGTTAACAACTTGTAATCAACCATCGCAAACAATGACAATATCCATAACTCTTTAAATGAACCAAAAACCACCCACCCCATCGCTTGGGAATGTGGGCATCATTTTCTTAAAATTACTTCTTGCTGTCTGGGGGTGAAGGCATCTTTAGAGGATCCTGAAAAGAAAAATTTTGGGTTAATTGTCAAGTTCTGAGAGAGTTGGTTATATCATTTGTCCAGTATCTGCATAATGGGAAAGTGCAGGGCTTGTCTCAAGTCCTTGTTCGAGTAGTCTGTGAATCTGAATCATCTTAGCTAGCCATCTCAAAATTGTCCTGAGCAGTTTGTAATACAAAGCCAATCTTTGGGTGGTGTTAATCAGCTTAATGGCTTTATCATAGTCCGTGTTGAATCCTTGTTGTGGGAATCCCATCCTCCTCTTTTTGTAGATTATAAAGTCGCTGTTAGGCATAGTCATGGTTCCCTGCAGAATTTTTTTTTTAATTTTTTAATTTTCATTAGACAAAAAGAGGGGAAATGTGGTGATATTTTATTTGTGCTGAAATATGGTGATACTTTATTTGTATGTTAATAGATAATGTTTGCCTGTAGATAAGAGGAAATAGCAAGCCATTTTAAGTAAACACAAAAGTCAGGCAGTGGTAGCACACTCCCTTAATCCTATCACTTAGCAGGCAGGGTCTCTGTGTGTTCAAGCCCACACTAGGGAATATAGCCAAGCGTGGTGACACAAGTCTTTAATCCCAGTACCAACCATAGAGACCTGGAGGTCTGTACAAATAGACAGAAAGTGACAGAGCTGCATAAGAAGAGTAGGTAAGGTAGCTGGGCTAAGAGAGGTCAATGAGAGGGCAGAACAGGAAGGCAATAAAAGCCTGGATAGACAGGAAGTCAAGACATGGCATTTGGAAGCTGCAGAGCTGGTGAGGTAGTTGGCTCTCACTATTTCCCTGATCTAAGGCTTTCACACCTATATTTGTCTCCGTGGTTTTTTTTTTTTTTTTATTTAATAAGACCATTTAGAAATTTGTCTACATTTGTCAGAGAGGTTTATTGTTGAGGGTGACTGGTCAAAATCATTGTGTCCCAAATCCCACCACTTGGATGGCAAGATCTTTCCTCTTCCCACTCCAGAAGCTCCAGGGAACAGCAAAGAATGCCTTGGGTCAGAATGTTAACTTATTGCATTGAAGAATATTTTCCTATAAAACCCAGTTTGTACTCAGATGTAAATAAAAGGCTATGAAATGGAAGTACATATTCTAAAAATGATGTGTGAAAATGGGAATTTCCCATAGTATCACATACCCAATGATATAGTTTGTTTCTGTGTTTGCTGCCATGTACCACCGCTGCCCTGAAGGCCTGCAGGCGCCATTGCACACATGTTCTCTATCACTATCCTTTGCATTCAGGATTCATCTGAGTTTTCTAACTTCTACTTTTCAGGCCGTATCTATATCACATGACAGTAGTTTTGGTTCCCAGACTTCCATATTTACTTTATTAAGATTAAATTGTTAATTTTCTAAATCAAGGAAGTAGTATGTGTTCGTTATAATGAGCCAGCCAATGCAGCAATGTCTGAAAACAACTTTCAATACTGGTTCACTTTCCACACAGGTGTAGGTTTCTTGAGGTTGGTGTTATTAACAGTTACTGATGATTTTGTTCAATGTTTAGGGCCCAATTTAAGTGTTAATCTATATACTCAACTAGGAATAATTTCGT